AGCCCCTAAAAGTAATGTAAAAAAATAAAAATATTTAATAAAAAATGAATTAATAAATATAAAAAGTTTATAAATAAAAATAAAATATTGAAAATTTTTACAAAAAAACATTTTTGGTTTCGGCCTGCCAATTTTTTTTACATTTCGGTTAGTTTCGGGTTTTACATCTCTATTTCGATGCACCTCTATTTACCATGATTAAAGGAGAACTATGGCCAAACCTTTTTTCGCCATAGTTCTCTTCAGGTCACAGGAGAACATTTACTAATGTCCTCCTGTGACCCAAACGTCAGCATATAGCAGGCTGTTGCCCGCTGTATGCTGACATCGCTGCAGCCGGGACGGATGCCAACAATAGTGACATGATTGAGGACATGGTATGGTTACTATATCCTCAATTATGAATGAATGGGAAGTGAACTACATCACCTGTTCATTCATAATTGTGGTTATAGTAAACACACTATGTTCTCATGTTATTAATGAACAGGAACACGCAGTATAGAGGACTCCTGTTCATTGATAACAGGGGATACAGAAAAAGAGATTGAGGACTTTGTGTTCTCAATCTCTTTTTCTATTTTAAAAGGGAAATATCAGGGGTCTGTTTAGACTCCTAATAGTTCCCTGCAGCCCCTAAAAGTAATGTAAAAAAATAAAAATATTTAATAAAAAATGAATTAATAAATATAAAAAGTTTATAAATAAAAATAAAATATTGAAAATTTTTACAAAAAAACATTTTTGGTTTCGGCCTGCCAATTTTTTTTACATTTCGGTTAGTTTCGGGTTTTACATCTCTATTTCGATGCACCTCTATTTACCATGATTAAAGGAGAACTATGGCCAAACCTTTTTTCGCCATAGTTCTCTTCAGGTCACAGGAGAACATTTACTAATGTCCTCCTGTGACCCAAACGTCAGCATATAGCAGGCTGTTGCCCGCTGTATGCTGACATCGCTGCAGCCGGGACGGATGCCAACAAATATTGTCGGGATCCACACTACTACCTGACTGACAGCTGGTTCTACCTCTCCCCCATGCGTCCTTCCAAAGAGCGCTAGAGGAACAGTGAGGGGAGGAGTGAATTCCTGTGGGGAATGATGATGAATAGTCACTGCTCTCTGCAGGGGGAAGATCGGTAACTGACTGATCAGCAGTTTGTGATTTCTCAGTTCTTGATCTATAGAGCTGATGTGTAACAGCTTCAGTGTCACATGTCATCTCTGACTGTTGGGACGAATGTATTTCACTCTCCCCATAGTTCCTCTTTAACCCTGTCTGTTCTGTGCTGGCAGATCTCAGTATCAGCTGTGAACTAGATTTGAACACTCTGTTCTAATGAAGGGTTCAAGATCTGAAGGCTCGGGTGGTGCATTGTATGTTCCGGCACTGTCCCTGAGTCTGTCCCTTCTATAAAATTATTTAGGATAGCTGGCAGTACTATGTATACATCTGCTCCAAAGAAACAACTAGAAAAGTAGGAAATATTTTTTACAAATGATTTTTCCTTATGCTGTGTGAATGAGAACACGAGCTAATCATATAAGGGGGGTTTCTGAAATTTGACTGCACAAGTGGAAATACACTTTAAGTTGGCCATGCATGGAGCAGATGAGCGCAGCTTGACAAACCTCAATTGAAAAAACCAAAGGAGACAGGTTGCAAATTCTTGTACCAAGTGACTCCTATAACTGAGGTTGGCAGGGGCTGCTTGCAGATTGGTGTAATGAAAGTACAGTCATGCGGCCTGACAGGGTCTCTCAAAACCTGAGTGACTTGGGTATGCATAACAATATTGATGGTGTACCAAACTAAAAGCTGCTTATCTCGTTCTGTAGGGGAAATCCTCTGCACTAGACAGAGAAACCGAAATAAAGCAAGTCTACTAAGATATGACTGATCTGTGATCATTTGACAAGCACAGAATTCATCCTTGTTTATTTGTCAAGTAAGAGAGATGTTGTCTTTTCCTTTTGATAGTTAAATTGCTTTAGGGCCTGTTCACATGATATCAGGTCCTGATCAGGTGCGGATCTGCAGACTGATGCAGTGTGTTTTGGCCGCCTTTCCAGTAAAAAAAAAGTTTTTTTTGTGCTGGAGTGGGGCTGTTAGTATGTTAGCTGCAGTGCAGTGCATTTTTTATGCGTTTTTTATGCGTTTGCGTTTCCTGACCGTTTACGGACCGGACAAAATGTGACATGCAGTATTTTTTCTGTCGTAAGCTGAATGGACTGCGCACGTGAGAACTGCAGCCCATAAAACACATAGGGATACATTGGGATGCATTTTGAGTGCAGCAGCGTACGAAGCCGGTCAGCACACAAAACAGACGTCGTGTGAACAGGCCCTTAAAGCTCAAGTTTATTCTGCCTTTATTTTGCTGTCCTGCTTTCCACCTTAACAGGCTAATAAAGAAAGCCTTTCTGTTATTGGCTCCCTTATAGAAAAGTGCCTTTCTATGCAATGCAGGCAGATCATGGCTGGTGTGAGGGGCTGGCAGGGTGCTTTTCATAACGTTCAGAGAACCTCACAGCTCCCTGCCTCAATACTTCTCTCAAGAGCCCTAAGTCCTTATGGAAGTAGTGGGCTGGCTCTTGGGAGGAGTTATGCCTCAAAAGACCTTGATGGGTGGATGTCAGTTTGGAGGAGTGGGTGTTCCTAGTAGGGATGCTCCGATAGCATTTTTTTCCAGATCCAGTACTGATACACGCTGATACCAATTACTGGTGTGTGACTGAAAAATGTACAAAACTCGTAAAAAGAAAACATTACAAATAACAATATATGAGCATCAAATAAAAACCCGATATAATGCAAAGCATCAATGCAGGTCAGAACATAGATACCTGTCAGTGAGTGAGGACCATGTCATTTAGGATTATCGAGTACGGCTAAAACGAAATAAGAAATCACTAATGTAGCTCTGTACACGAACACAAGAAAAGAAAGGAAAAAACCAATAGGAGTAAGAACAAGGAGAAAACAAGAAGGAAGGCGAGTAGGGGCCTGTTCCGTCCCCTCCCCAGACACCACAGTGGAGAAACCTCAACTCAGATAGTCAAACGGGATCACAAACTATATCAACACCCATATCGGGTGGTGGGGCAAGAGTGAGGTATGGCAAGTAAGATGGAAGTAAGCAGTCAACGGTTCATGAGGTCGGTATAACGATCAAAGTGTCGAAAGTAAATCCAGGAGTCCCAGGTAGAGGAGAACCTCCCCTCAGAGTTCCTCAGAGATGCCATCAGATCCTCCATGACATAAATATTGTGTACCTTGGAGAGCCACATTTAGATCGTAGGGGGACAAGACTGTTTCCACAGTAATGGGACGCAGGCCCTGGCAGCGTCAAGCAAATGGTGTGTGTGTGAGGGAGTGTTTGTATTTGGAAATCAGAATTGAAGACGTGTAGAAGACATGCCGCTGGATTTTTTCTGAGGTCAACCATGGTTAGGTCCCTATACCAACGAGACACTGTCAGGGTTATTAACAAAAGGGTGAAGAGTTTGGAGAAGGCAGGAGAAGTGAACAATCTAGGATAACATAGCTGAATAGGAGAAATTCTCCAATTCATCTCGCTTTCCAGTTCAGCTATTTTGGCCTAGATTGTTCACTTCTCCTTCCTTCTCCGAACTCTTCACCCTTTTGTAAATAATCCTTTATCTTATATCCCATTTCTTGAACTTTGCTGGCAATGGAGGATTGGAATGACATGGTAATGATGGCGTGTCTTTGACGATCCATGAACTGGAACCCCAGTTCCTTTTCTCATCCCTGCAAGAAGGAGTGATGGGCGGCTGTGGAGGGCAAGGTTAACATTTTGTGAATAGTAGAGATAGCGTGTCAAGAAGGCAACTGGCCCCTGCACATGTCCCTGCACAAGTTGCATGGCACTCCAGGGATCCAGGGAGGGATCAACCATAGGTTGGAGGACTGGGCACGTAAACCGTGCCGAATTGTCTTGGAAGTCCACCAAACGAAATTTGTCCACAGACAGATGGCGAGAGAAACAATTACTGTCAACAATTGGCGCAAAGAATATTGCATGAGTCGTTCAGATAGTGGCAGAAATTAAAGGATGCTCTTGGATCGCGGACGGAAGAAGGGGGGGAAAGCCATGGAAGTCCCTCCCAGAGGGAATCGATAAGTACTTCTGCCCAAGGACACCCATAACTTGTCTGCGACATACAAGTGCTAGTCCAAAACCCTGTTCAAGTGAACTGCCCGATTAGTACATTAGAAAATCCAGAAGCCCTTATTCTTCCCCCCCCCCCCATCCCGAAGGCTGGGGAAATGTGTTACCGGAGCTGTGTGAAAAAGAAGGTTGGCCATGCGTTATGCATTGACAAGTGAGGCACCTCGGTTTTTTGCACTTGAAATTACCTTTTCTGTTGTCAAATAAGAAAGTGTGCTTGGAGTTGGGTTTAATGAGAGAACGTTTGCTAGTAGCTATTTTATGTTTTGTTTTTTTAACGCTTTTGGCTTTTTTGAGCACTATTGAGAGTTTGCGGGGAAGTATTGAGCCCAATTTGGAGTCACATAGGAGAAGGTGCCAATTTTTCTTTAGAATAGATTCGATGGTCTTGTATTTGTTATTGAAAGGGGTGATGAAGCGGACAATGTTTGGTTGTGGATTTTTAAAATCTCTTTTATTTTGTTTTGTCTCTGGATGGGGGAAATGTGTGGCCGCCTGCACTGTAAGCAGCGCCGCGAGATCCCTAGAAAGCCGCCGCAAGGTCTCCAGCAAGTGTAGGACCTTACGGCAGCTGAATCCATTGAAAAATGTAAATAGACAATATCTGCTTTTAGTATCGGGCATTTTCACACATTCCAGTACTCGTAAAAAATGCCCAGTATTGGCACTGATACCGATAGTTGTATCGGTGCATCCCTAGTTCCTAGGTATATAGCATGTGATGCTCGGCCTCCATGATTGAAAGAACTGAAATTCTCTATCCTTATGCTATACAAATATTGAAATAGAAAGAACTGAGGCAAGCTTTCTATGGCTTGCTGCAGCTTCTAATGCACTCTTGAAAAGCTTGCAGTGTTCAGTGAAATCAAAGTGATCTGTCCAGGAGAGGAGAGATGCATCTGTGTGAGACTGAAGGGAAGGCTGGAGTTCAGCTTCAATTGAGATAACGAAGAAAGAGAATGCTCTTTATTCTTACGTATGTTATTTCCGTGTTCTCTAATCTATTTTTATAGCCTGTGTTGACGTCACATTTTATAACTGGATATCACTTCCCGAGCACCAAGGAAAGATTTTGTATTACCATTTAGCCATTTTTAAAGTGTATGTTAAATTTTTTATATCATTCAGGTTTTTTTACTTTTGATTTTGTTTACTCTATCCTGTTTGGTTGTGTTTTTTTTTTTTTTTTCTTGGTTTGAAATACCTGGTGATTCTGTCAGTTCCCCTTCTGCCCTTCTTTAATCTGACCACGCCATGCACAGAAATAGATCCGTGCTGGTGTGGTCAGTGTGCGGTCCTCTTTGGAGATGCATGATGTATCCTGTATCTCTTGAAGTCGTTTTGAATCTTTGCCATCTTTATTTCCTTTTTACAAATGATGACCGTGTTCCTTCATTTTTATATTTTTGTTTTAAATGCTCTTTTCTTATTCTTTATGGTTTTTGAAACATTGAATGTGAGCCACATGGGTTTTACTTTTAGCCTTTTAAACTTCTTGCCCTCAGGAATATATTTTACAGTGTGTTTGCGAACAATTGATTTGAAACATTCCCATTTCTGTTCTGTGTTTTATGATGACACTATTCCCTCCCAGTCCAAGTCTTGAAGAGCAGCCCTCAGCTGTTCTTGGGTTTAGACACACTTTTAGGCCTCATTCACACGAGAAAAGGTCGGCACGTACAGCTCCATGCTGCGTGCACGGCCGTATCGGGCAGCTCCCGGGAACGACGAGCAGCCCCTGTCCTTCTTCTCTATGGGACTACGCAGCTGTACGCCGCCCTACACTCACCCCAAGTGCAGGTCCGTACGGGTGCGGGTGTCCCGGCTCGGACGCAGACAGAATACATCCTGTCGGCGTATGAGTACGGACGTGCAATGTGGGTGAGCGTAGAGCGGGGTATGGCCGTGTACTCCCATAGAGAAGGACAGGGGCTGCGTACAATCACACGATACGGCTGTGCACGCAGCACGGAGCTGTACGTGCCGCCCGTTTTCTCATGTGAATGAGGCCTTAGGCAGCCGTATTACACTGAGGATTGATTGGGGCTTTGACCGCACCCAAAATAAATAAAGTAGGGTGTTGCAGCTGGAAATGCTTGATGATTATTTATTTTAATTCTGACTATGGGATACAGGTACAATTGCTACACTGACACATTCATGGTAGGTGTGTAGTATATTTGATTTCATGATAGAGTTTTGTGTGTTCTTGTTTTGTGATTGTTGTGTTTACCATCTCGGCCTGGTGATGTAAATATTCAAAATCATAGATCAAAACTGAGTACAAGTAGCCAGTACAAAGGTAAAGATCGTGTTATTCCACTTTATTCAGTCTGAAGGCAGTTTTATTTTTCCATCATTGGGAGTTATCCTGTGATCGGACCTTTACACAAGGCCAGTATGTAGAAGTTACCTAGAGCTGAAAGCACCTAGTTTGTAGCGTATAGAAGGAAGAGTAACCAGATGAAGCTTGCCAATTAGATGCAATCTAAACTTAAACAAGGGAAACCACCTTGTGCTTTTTAGAATAGGTCTTCTGTGAAATGGGGTTTACAGGTGGGTTTTCCCCACTCTCACAAGTGACATTTTCTTTCCTCCTATTTATCATTACACTATATCCTGATGGAGTGTTCCACTTATTTGAGCAACTAACTATGTAAAAAAAAAACCTGAGCAACTGAACACAATTGAGCACACCAAGCCTTCAAAAAAAGCATGGCTGAACTCCCTTGACTTTAGGAGAAAATCTTGCT